AAAGCATGAAGGGCTGGAGGCATGGCTCAAGTGGTAGAGCCACTGAGGCACTGAGTTTAAAACCCCAGTACCACCACCACCAAAAAAAAAAAAAAGGTAAACATTTCACAGTGTTTTCCATGACTCATTTGTACTTGTATACAGAGACCATGAAATCACCTACAAGCATGAAAGGTCTAAGTGAAACAGTATCCCTACAAACTGCTATAACAATCTCATCAGCCTCTTTCACTATAGGAAATACTGTCAAATCTTATTTCTTCATTAACTTTCTCATATGAGGAAATTGGTTTAACTGCACTCTACCAAGGTTCCTGCAAAACCAGGCAGAGCGATAGGTAAATAGTGTACATCATCAAGCTGCAGTATATTAGTGAGTGAATATTTTGTCACCAACTGTGTCTCCATAGTACTGTGAAGTTGCCTAAAGGATCATGAGGTGGTACTCATTCTTGGGGGTGTCTAAGGAATTATCTGTGGTAGAAAGAATAATGATCCCAAGTATAGCCATACTGGGAATTGGAGCTTCAAAATATGAATTTTGGGGAGCACAAACACTCAGTCCACAGCAATCATGCATATATATAGTGTATATACACATATATACCTTTTCCTTCCTAGATCATATCTTTCCGTGTCTATGGCAAATATTACTACAACATTTTAATTTAGTTCAGGTATAGAGTGCTAATATAAATATACCCACAACAAATCCCCTATTGTATACTTAAAATCTGGTTTTTTGCCTATAAGAAACATTTTTCAGTGATCATTCTTGTAGCTAAATCATTATACTCGTTTTTCATTAGCAAAAAGTGGGTTTTTTATATTACTTAGAGATTTTTATTGTCTTTTAGATGCACAGGTATCAAATTAATGTTAAAATTTTAATAAAAATGCTTTCAATCTGCTCATTATTTTATTGAGTTGTAATGAACATGCAACAAAAGGCACAAATGTAAAGTGTACAGCTTAATGGTATTTTACATGTGTGGGTACCTATGTGAACACCATCCAGTTCAAGATACAGAGTATTTCCACTATCCCAGGTGGCTCTCTTATGCTCCTTGCCAATCGGTAATCCCTATCCTCAGAGAATGAGAAAATTGATTTCTATCACCAAGGATAATTACGCCTGTTCTTGAACTTCATATAATGGAATTATATAGCGTCTATTAATTCTTTCAGGTCTTGGGGTCTTTCATTCAGTGTGTTTTTTGAGACTCATCCATGTTGTTTCATGTGTTAATGTGGGTTTTTGTTGTTCACGAGTGTCCTGTTGATTCAGTCTCTTGACTGAACCCCAGTTTGGGGTTATTATGAATAAAGTTGCTTTGCACATTCTATGAGCTTTTGTAGACATATGCACTCATTTCTCTTGGGTACACAGAGCAGAGTAGAATTGCTAGGTCATTGGAATGCTGTGCTTAATTTTATCAGAAACTGCTGACCATTTTCCAAGTAGTTACAACACTTCATGCTCTACTAGCTACGTGTAAGTATCTGACTTGTTTCAAGCTCTAGCTGTAGCTTGGCATTGCTTTTTGTTGGTTGGTTGGTTGGTTGGTTGGTTGTCATCCTGCTGGTATGTCATGGTAATTCATTCATTGTTTTTCGATCTCAAGAAAGTGTGTTTGTCTAAATAGTGTGTAGGAGCCTAAATAGTTGGATTTGAGAACATTTTGATTTTTACATAATGGAAGATGCGTGTATTTAGTCCTGCCTTGAAATAGGTTGAAAAACAAAACAAAAAAGGCAAACAAACAAAAACCCAATCAAATGAAAAACACCGTATCTATACAGTTAAATCATTTATTGTTCATCTGTTTTTTAAAATAAGATTACTAATTTGACTCTTAATTTTGAGGCAAAGCTTTTAAATATGACTTTCTTGCTTTAAGTCATAAATTTCATTTATTATTCTGACCAGAGTAACATAGTTTATGTAGCTACAAGCAGAATTGCTTCTCCTTCTTCCAATTAGGCATGCAATCCCTAGTTTTATTGCTATTATCTCTGCTTTAAATTTTGTTGGTCATCATTTCTTTCTGTTTAGTCAGAGCTGGGCCATTGCAAATCTGGTTCCTTTAGAGAAGACAGACATTGTACTGCCCTTGTAGGACAGGCTGACACTTCAGCACCAGGTAAGAGGTAATTCATCTTCATGATTTTTGTGGCCATCTTATTGGGCCCTGATATTTTCACAGTTTGATATGGACCCCAAACCCCACAGAGATAGGTCCAAAAACCTCTAAACCCCACAGAGATGGGCATGACTGAGCCACGTGGCTTGGGGGAATAGTTTGGGGAACTTTCTCTTGTCATTTAGCCCAGCTATTTGGTATAGAGCTCTCCCAACAGTGATCTGACTCTGACTCTACATCAGATGTGATGCAGAAGCCTGGAGTTTATTTTGGACTTCATGATAGAGTAGAAAATAAGCACACACAAGCAGCTTCTTTCTTGGTGTTGGCAAGTGGTTATGTTTTGTTTTGACTCTTAACACTGCTCTCCTGTAGTTAGGAGAGTTTGGTTGGAGTCTGATGTTGTACAAAGCCTGGAATAGTACCACACCTGGAAGATGCTTTGATGAAGACATTTCAGTGAGGCTGTTATCTTAAATGGGTGGAGCCCAGAGGAAAGAGCTTGATATCTTCCCGCCCTTGGATTGATTTCAAATACGTAAGACCACAGAAGTGTGGCTTTTCCCTACATAGGTCCTAAGAAGATGGAAAAAGAAAAATTGAATCTTAGGAACAAAATTGAGCAAACAAGTGAGGGATATCTGTATTTATTTTAATCATTGTTACTATCTGTGAGTCACAATCTATAAAGCATATTACTCTGTTTAACTAGTAGATACCTTGCCATGTGGAATTTAGCAAGTTGCTTAACCTTTCCCTACCATTGGTACTAATGATATCCAAGGACCCTCTTGCTCCAAAGGTCACTGAGAGGCTGCATAATATGGTTTCTAAAAGGACCACTCCAGAGCTGGACAGCCAAGTTCAAATTCCTGCCAAACATAAGACATCTGAGCAAGTTACTTACTTTCTTAGTACCTAGTATAAAATGGTAATATTGACATCGCCCACCTCATAGAATTATAATAATAGTTTAGCGAAAGAGAAAAGCTTTTCTGATTTCTTCTGCAATAGTATAGTTCCTCTGAAGGTTTACAAGGTAAGATATCCCTGTGATGTTTGTACTAATTTGAATTTTCTTATTTCCAACATTCTCACTGGCATAAGAAGGAGAAATTAGTATTGACTTTCTGTTTAATATAATACTTTTGAAATAAAATTCAAAATTAAATTTATGTGTAATATCTAAAGATATTTAGGAAAATTCAAATGAGTAGAGAAAAAAAATGACCCAGATGTCAACTACCCAGATATAACCATTTTTTAAATTTCAAATAAGGCTTTGATTTTCTACTCATAGAATAGCTTCATTGATTTACCAAGGTACAATTATTCTGTATCAATCACTTTAGTTTCCTATGTTTTGTTTACTATTCAGTCATAAGCATTTTCCTCTTATTACCAAGGATTAATTAAAGTATCACCTCTCTAGTTGTATAATATCATTTTGAATAGATCCTTTTGGATTTATGACTTTGCAAGGTTATTGAACATAGTGATTGTTTATGGTTTTTTTTAGTGCTATGAATAATGGTACAATAAATATCTGTGTTCCTATTTAAGTTTGCAGGCTTCATTATTTCTATAGGGTAGGTTCCCAAAGGTAATTCTAACACCAGAGGTCAAGGGCTATGAATAGTTTGAGGAAATTTAGTCTGCAAAGTAACTTCCAAAACTTGTTAGTTTTGTCTGTTTCATTGTGTTCCACCAGAACTGATTATCATCATTTCCCTAATCTATGACAATTTGTAGGCAACTTATGCTTCTACCACTGTTTTTATTTCTGATTCATTGTGGGGTGCCTAAACATTTTATCATGGACTTCTTGCTAAAGGCATTTGTTCTTTTAGGAAATGTCTATTCATGTCCTTAATATGATTTTTATTCACTAATTTGTATGAGGTCTTCATAGAGAAAGGAATACTGGATCTATATATGAAATATTTGGTAGGAATATTTCCCTGTCTATTTGCCTCTTATTTTATTTATTATCTTTTAAAATCATAAAGAAATAAATGAGAGCATATATAGTTAGGTCTCTGCATATTTTCTATTCTCTCTTTCTCTGTAGTTTCTAAGCTAAGAAGTTATTTCACTCTGTAGAAGTTTAGTAAGACTCGGTTCTATTTCCCTCAAGTTTTTCTAGAAGTTTACATAGACATAAATCTTTTTACATTTAATTTAATGCCTTTATGTAAACATAAATGCCTATAAAGGAAAACAGAGGTCTTGGTATTTCCTTAGTTTTTCTTCACTCAGTCATTGATACAGCCTGGACTCAAACGTAAATTCCTTTCCATTTCAGTACTCAGCATATGCTTTGGTGAGTTCAGTAGTATTACCCAGTGGTAAAATTATCTTTTGAAAATCATGATCAAAGAGTTTTTAGTGGGCTGGTGGAGTGACTCAAGTGGTAGAGTACCTGCCTAGCAAGCATAAGGCCCTAAGTTCAAAACCCAGTTCCACCAAAACCAAAAAAGAATAGTAAATATTTACTTCCTAGAGGACTCAGTGACTGGTCACAGTAGATATGGACTCCTTGTCCTGTAATAGCTTGTAGTCAGAATGGAAAATTGGAGTGCTAGCAAATGTTAACTGTGAGGCCCTCAGAGCGGGTCTCTGGCAAATAACTTCCTCCTTTGCCCTCAGTTTCTTCATCTGTGAATGAAATGAGTCTAACTAAATGATTTCTAAGGAGTGCTGCAGCTCTGATATTGCTGGATTTGGTGCACACAAACACATGCACACAGGGACAGCTCTGCAAAGATGCAGCAGCATTTGTCTACATTGCTTCACCTGCTACTTTACGATCTGCAGCACCATAGGCTGGACTCATTCACAGAGTCAGGAAGAGCGATGAAGGCTGATGATGGTAATGAAAATTATAAAAGCCAAACCACTCAGTCCACAGGCACCTTCTTAGAGAAACCTCTACAGCAGTTCCGGATAGAAAACGAGGCACTAGGAATGAAGGGACTGATTACTCTTGTTTACATAACCCCTCCTAAAAGGTTTCCTTAGCCTTTTTAAGGTATCAGTGTCTAGTATTTATGAAAATCCCTTATCAAAACCTTAGTCTAGTATGTGTTTCGGAAATCAGAATTGTTTTTTGGTTCAGAAATGTCATACAATACATGAACTAAATTTTATATAACACCCCAGAGGTTTTGAGATAGCACCCTTTATCAAACACATTGATATTTTTATAGCAGGATTCATGAATATTCACAATAAGTTGGATAAATCATGACTGTTATTAACTCTACTTCATTTCATGATAGGTTTTGTCAACAAGTGATGATTTTCATAGCTTTCTGGATTTTGCAAAGTGGATAGGGACTGTAGGCCCAAGTAACCCTTTCTGATTCACCCTACCAGATACACCTTCTCAAAGTGCAGCTCTGATTGTGGCCTCTCTGCAGAGACCTGTCACGGTGGTTCACAGCAAAGCGACAAGAGTACTTAGACTCCAACTAGCATTAAAGGCTTTCCATCCTGTATCTCATCCCACTGGACAGCCCTTTTCTCCTTAGGTAAAGCCGTGACCCCTTCCTAAACGCCCATTCACCTGGGCCCCAGCCACACTGTACTGCTGAGACATCCTGCAGATCTGCCTCGTCCTTACGTTTGTGTTTATCTAGTTTCTCCTACGTATGACACATTCATCCTAGTTCTCCTCACTCCTAGCCTAGCTGTTTTCTGATTTTAATCCTAATCACTTCCAAATTCCCAGTCCAGGAGGTTCTCCTAGATTTACTTGCTTTGGATTTCTCTTTCTGGGATCTGTTTCTATATTCCGTGTCTTTACTATGGCACATATAAAAGACGACCTAGGTTAGAGCACTTGTGTGTGTGCATTCTGTATGAGGTCCTAGAAGAGTAGTCTTCAAATTTTAGTATACGTGAAATTCTGCTTGCTATATAGATTCCTGGGTTCTCCTTTCCTTTTTCCTAAGAGATTTATTTTCAGTAGGTTTGAGTGAGACACAGATGACTACAGATGAGCAAATCTCTGATTATTTAAACTTTCTGTCTTATCTCCTTGTCTATGAGGAACCCAACAGCAGGTTCTGTTCTTAAAATAAGGAGCCACCCAGAACCTAAAACTGAATTATGGTCTTCACATCAGTCCACACAGTACTGCCTTTATTTTTTCTTTTCATCTCATTTCTTCTCCTTTATACAATTCTATTAGAAATGGAGCTCTGCTCCATCTTCCAGGCATGTGAGGAATTTTTTTCAGTTGTGTCTTTGAGTGTGTTGTATGTGAATGAATATGACTTCAATTGTATGTATGTCTGGGCCTCTGCTAGGCAGTATTTGCAACGTGGGTAGCTTGCCTAATACAAGGATACACCACCATGAATGGCTGAGTGAGACTGCAGCTCTTAAGAGAAATTAAGTGCAATGCCTAGTAACACTTCCTTTCACTGGGTCTGAACACTGGTTAGCCTGTGCCTGTTATTTAAGTAAGAGCTGAAGAATGTACCCTTAGGTGGAAGGCAAGCACATGTATTTAAATCTTCAGATCACTCTTCTGTAAAGGGACAAACTGAAAGCAACACAAGATATGAGAATTCCTTGTGGTTTTAAATTAATTTCATGGGCACAGCCAATCAGATGGCACTTCACAGTGAGAAAATCTGCGCACTTTCCTTTTCTGTATTTCTGTCTTGCTCCTTTGCTATGTTCACCAGCTTAATAATTGGTTAAATTAATATTGACTAACAAGTGTTTTGGAGAACATTTGTGTGCTTATCACATGGAACATGGCTAGTGACAGAAGTGAAAACAGAGATATTAACTTGGTATTATTTACTTAGAGTATTATTTTAGAGGCCAAAACTAATACATGAGAGGTAAAGAAAAAAATAGCCAGACAGGATTGAGGCAAATATCATAAAGCTACTGAGACATGATGTGGAAGGAGTTGGAAAGATTTTCCTGAGCATAATAAAAGAAGAAAGAAAGAGTTAAAATAGAAAACTTTAAAGTTTGGAGGCAGTTATACAGGCAGGAAGCTACATTCTCCAATAGCCTTTCACTGCTTGGTATCTTCCACCTTGGAGCATAATGAAGAATTCTTTGAGTCAGGTGGAGTGATATGTATGTCCTTGACCCTTTGCCTATAAGAAACAGCGATGGGGTTTGATCACAGCTGGGACTGAGTAAGCAAGTGCTTCATTAAAGGATATCCACATGAGCAAAGCAGACTCTCAGGTGGTGAGCATAACCTCAAGATATGCAACGTGTTCTGTGGATTGGGTGATATGGAATCTGTTAGAGCTCTTCTAACCAGTGCTAAGTTTCCTATTCATGGGACACATACCCACCCAGATTCTCCTTCAGTTAACTACGTTCTCTCTAGTCTACCCTGCCCTGGCTGCTTAGTTTTCCATCTGACCTAAACCAGGCCAGTACAGAATCCTGTCATCCATCTTTTGAATATCCCTTCCTGGCTAAGTACATCTTCCCCTCTCACTTTCCCCATGCTGGAAATCTTAGCACTGGAGTCAGTTTTCTGATTCTTTCACAGTCAAGTAATTTATATTCAAGTCAGTTCCAAGTCCTGGTCATTGTACACTGGTCTGCTTCAGACTTATATCTCCTCTCTTTGGAGACACTGAGGTACTTTCTAAATTGGTCTTTGTCTTTTCTATTCTTTTTCTTAGAAAGTCCTCAACTCTGATAGTGCTTTTTTTATTTCTAAAATTCAAGTTTCATTATAATTCAAGCTTCATTATAATATAGTCCTGCATAATTTTCTATAACAAGTCCAAATTCCCTAACATGACTTAATCCCATCCCATTCTGCTTTTACCATGCAGCCTGCTTTTTCCGTTTCCATTGTTTTGATGCTTTATGCCTATCTATGACCGCTTTGCTCTAATTTTACTCCTGTTTATATTTTACAATTATTTATATTGTATATTAATTTTATAAAATGTCACTGTCCAAAAGATGAAACAACGAGACTAGATTTGAAGCCCAGAATTACTTTACTATAAAGCCAGCTGTCCCTTACATGTGATCTTAAAAGTTGAATGTTACTAAGGTCTGTTCTCTATCTTTGGAATTCTTGGGGAATGTTAATGGGAAGGGAATGTGTTTCATTCCCATTTGAAGCAGGAGTAGTTGCCCACTGAACATACCTCGTAGCCCAATTGCTCATGGTTATCATTTTATGCTGGGGATTACTCGTAAGACTCTTGTCGGAATTAGAAGTCACAGATCCATGCTTAACAACCCACATTTTTCACAGATTAGGTCTATATATTTCATTATCTAGCATTCTCAGTGCTTGGGAATTCCCAGCCTATAGAGGCAGCACTTCCTGGGGAGAAAAAGCACAGACTGAGCCAGATGGCCTAGGTTCTGACCTCCATTCTGCTGTGCGCTATCTGTGTAACCTTGACAAATTCCTTAATGTGGCTTCTCCAACTATAAAGTGGATTTAAAGATGGTTAGTTTTGTACAGATTAAATGAATTCAGATACTCACAACACTTGCAATAGGACCTGACACACAAACAGTAAGCACCCACCTCCTGAGGGTTAGCTGATGTATTTGTTGTTAGATCTCTTTTATTCATGTAAAAGCCAGTTTCCCTTTATCTCTATTAATGCTACTATCATTGGATCAAAATTAATAATTTTTGGATTGTCAACATCCAACACCTGAGACTCTAGAATCTACTGCTACTCCTGTGACTACAAGAACAGCCAATGGGTTGTACTCACTGCACCATACCTGGGGGTAGAGCACCAATGCCCCCTAGTGACTTGACTGTTGGGAAGCCTTTCTTGGGCTTACTTCCTTGCCCTCTTCCCTGCAGAGCTCTTTGGTACAGTGGACAGTGCAAAGTGAGGTTCATTCTGCTCCCAGTTCAGAACCATCAGAATTCTATTCATAGTAATTGATAGTTGAGACTCCTTTCTGTTTCTCCCCAATCCCCTACTTGGTGGCATCTTGGCAACATGCCTCACATTTGATATTCTCCCACATGGCCCCTCACAGCTCAGCAGCCCTACCTGTCTTTGGGCCAGATGGAGCCAGTGCGAGAACAGCATAAGCCAAAAAATTATATTTCAAATGTTACCATGGTGATGCCCTAAAGACACATCCCAGGATGCAGAACCAGGTTCACAGGAGACAGTATGGAAAGGGACACAGCCCCGCCTTTGTATTATTCTTCTGAAAGAATGAGGCTCTTAGTCCAAGGACTGTGGTTGGCCCAAATCAGGGTTACCTTCTGAGGATGTAGCCCTATGATTGCTTCCATCTTGGAATTACTGTCCCCTTACAAGTATAGAAACATCTCAGAAACCCAGCCCTCTATTTACCTTGGTAATTTCTAAAGCAAAATAAATGAGTAGATAATGTGGGAGAATTTATGTATATTTTGAATAAATTAAAAACTTACCTAAATATTTTTCTAGATAACATTTTCTAAATTATCAAAAACATGTAAGTGCCCTCCAAGCTTATTCCAGTGGCAGGGGAAAAGAATATCAGTTTTTTTTCTACCCAGTTAGATGAGATACATTACAGAATTCAAAAGGAGTTCTATGTAAATTCCCTAACGGGTATCCTTGGCATTTTCCTTTCTTCATAAGCTGGGGAGAGGATATTAAATTGATGCTGAGGGTCTAGTGTGAAATGAGAGGGTAGTCTGTTACTAGCCTCTTAGTAACACTTTTTGTGTTAGTTTTCATCACTGTGACAAAACAAGTGAGATAATCAACTTCTCTTGGAAGGGCTTATTTTGCTTCATGTTTGTTTGAGAGGTTTCAGGTTGGCCTGTTGCCTTTGATACTGTGGCAAAGCTGTATACAATGGTGTGAATACATGGCAGAAGAAACTGCTTACCTCATGGCAGCCAGGAAGCTAAAGAAAAGGAGTTGGCATCCTTCCCAGGGCACACTCCAATGACACAACTTCCTCCTGTTAGGGCTCCCTCCTAAAGGTTCTACTACTTGCCAGTGGTGCCACGGACTGGGGACCAAGCCTTCAACACATAAACCCTTTGGGGGACATTCAAGATTCAAACTATAACACTTACCTTTTAATATTCAGACTAAATGTATCCAGGATAAAAACAGAGTATTTAAGCTGTAGTTAGCTCTGATTTATCCTTCAGAGGGCACAGCACTAAGGAGAGATAGATGCAATCTCCAAGATGATTTGCCCTATCCTGTGTTTAAGTTTGACACATTTTATTTTTGCCTAGAAGTACAAGGTCCATACATCTGTTAGAAAGACTCTGTGATTGGACATCTTTTAGAAAAAGACTCTGTGATTGGTGAAGGCAAACTCTTCCAAGGGCCTATTTAGGACTTATTTGCAGCTGCAATTAACACATTGTCTAAAGGTATCTATTCACAGATGTTATTAGTTCCTCTTCAAGAAATCAGGGCATAACTGAGCAGGAGGAAAATATGGAATGCAAGAAACAGAT